AGAATGAATTCACTTCAGTTTATTTACGTAGCCCCAAGTCACATTGAACGTTGTCTCAAGGCACTGTACAGAAAAACTCAATCAATCTACGGAAACCAGCAGATTGCGCTGAATCTTCACTTCATCACAGTCTCTCATCTTGAGCAGCACATTTACAGCAGTGGAAAGGAAAACTCCCTTTTAACAGGAAGGGACCTCCAGCAGAGCCAGGCCTGGGTATGGGGGGACAGGTAAGAGACACAAGTGAACACAGAAGGACTGGTCCAGGTGTATTTTCAACTGAAAGGGAGACAAAGAAAACACATTTTATTGATATAAATAATTAAAACAACAAACATGTAGAGAAGAGAGACTAAAGACAGCAGCAAAGTGAGGAAATGTGATCAGTTTGTCCTCCAGCAGTCTAAGCATATAGCAGCAGAGCTAAGGGATAACTCAAGAAACCAACCCTAACTATAGGATTTATGAAAAAGGAAAGTCTTCGCTCTAATCTTAAAAGTACAGAGTGTCAGCCTCATGGACAGAAACTGGAAGTTTGTTCCAACAAAAGAAGAGCCTGATAACTGAAAACTCTCCTTCCCATTCCACTTTTAGAGACTCTAGGAACYATAAATAAACCTGCAGTCTGAATGCTAAGTGCTCTGTTAGGAAAATATGGAACAAKAAGATCTTTAATMTAAGATGGAGCTTATATTGAAGATCTTATTGTGAAGGAAGTTGGGCTTAACAAAGTAACACCACAGCAGTATCTGTGAGCTGTCTAACAGAAGGAAAGCCTCGCTACATTGGGTTTACRTCACAAAATACTTCCAAGTTTTTCTTTACCAGTTACCACACATTCGTTTAGCGATCATAACTCCTCTTAGCATATAATATATCAGGTTTTTAGTTGTCCTTTGTCAGATCAATGTTGCATTTTCACGTCTTATCAAATTTTGTTGCTTTGGCCTTTCTTTCTGTGTGGCACTTATTTAATTTAAAACGAAGTTTGTTTAACTTGGTTCACTTGCCTCTGGATCATTTGCATTTGGGTCCTCCTCACTGTTACTACACAAAACATTGTAGAAAGACTTGAACCAGCGGGTCATAGATCACACTGTTTGAGTTCTTCCACGACAGCTGCCAAAACTGTTTTTCCCAACTTAAAAAGAAAAAGTTCTTGTCCTCTTTCATCTGTTGAAGCCACRGGACACAGAAGACCTTGAAGACACATTGTCCAGACCGTTATGGCTAAAATGGATGGCATGGCAGGAAACACTATGGGTGGTGGAGAAGGGCTTGATAGTAATGTTCAAATAGTCTTTTCTCATGAATGCACCAGATATGATCAGAAAGGTGATAMATTCTGTAGAAGCCTTTAATTTTGATACCCAAAACAGCTTATAACAAAGGTATACAGTACTATTGACAAAACCAACTTGGTCAAGTAAACTAAAACATTGCAATATGGAAGATTGGGATGGAAAATGCAAGTTGAAGCATGGTACAGGTATTTTGAACATTTAGTAATTCTTTAGAAGCATCACAGCAAGAAAGGAATCAGAACAAAAGCCTTTGGCAGATGCAAACTGTTAAACTGTGCAACATTGCATACATGCAGTTTGTACATTTTCCCCTTGAAAACTACACAACTTTTCCAGGTATTTTGAAATAATATCTATTTTGAGATTTTAAGGGAAAAAAAACAAGCAGTGGCTTTTATTTCCTCACTTTGATGTCATCTTGGAAGTAAAAAGTGCTTGTTAGAAAGGAGAGGGATTTCATAAAGTGTTTAGTAACGAGGGAGGGGGATAAAGACATTTTCAGAAATGCAGGGAAAAGCCAGTCTTCAGAGAAGTAGCAGCTACAACATAGATAAACAGTAGATGAATGACAGGAAAAGGGGGAGGAAAACTTGCAAACAGTATTTCATCATGAAAGTCTTAAGTTCAGTCATGTTCTTCAAAAGTCAGCCTGTCCATTACTGATTCGACTGACTTTCTTYTCATATGTGGTGCTAACCTTTTGTGTCATTCTTTCTAATACGGGGGAACTTCAAAATGTACCCATATGGAACGGACTGGCTGAGGCTTGCACCAAAGTTTCTCCGTCTTTATTTTTTTATGAAATATCTCCAAACTTAKTCAAAGGCATGTAGCACAGACACATTTCTATAAAACCGCCGCTGAAGAAAAGGATACATTTCTTTGTAACTAATGTATTACTGGTTAAAAAAATATCCAAAGTTTTTGACAGAAAAATGCTTTGGAACGTTTTTGTGTGCCCTTGAGCAAGCCCCTTAATCCATCAGCTGCTCCCTGGGAACTGTAACTGGCATCCCACTGCTCCACATGTGTGTTCACATGTGCGATGAGTAAAATGCAGAGAACTGATTTCCCCTCTGCAGGACAATAAAGACTAATAAAATCTAAAAAAAAAATACATTCTTGTGTTTTTTAATGTTCACTAGATATAGTAGCTGTTTAGAATCGGGTATATTCCTAAAGTTAAAGGTCCAAGTAGAAAACATCATTCATGAGAGAGTTTCCAGAAAACCTTGAGGCATTTGCATTTGTTCTGAAGTTATTTTGCATACAAATCCATTGCTTGTGTTTTGAACATTTTAAATCTATTGGTAACAACGTTGCTCTCAAGGTGGTCACAGTGTCTCAAACCCATCTGAGTTGTGTTGTGGGTGTTTCCGGCTCATCTCAGGAGCRCTAGAGCTGTATTTCAAGACCTGTGTGGGAGTTGTCGTCCTTTGACTGAAAATATTCAAGGCAAATGTCCAGGTCTAAAAAGAGATGCTGATTCTAAATGGTAATTTAAGTGGATACAAAGCAGAGGATACACTCTAGAATGTGGTTTTGCGAGACGTGAGTGCAAAATTGAACTGATTTTCAAAATCTGGTCCTTCAAAATGCAGCCACATGAGATCGCCTTAATAAATGGTGACGTTTTGATTTATTGAGCGTTTCATTTAAATCCATCCACTGGTTCATGTGTTATTGTAGGGGTGTGCACATCAATATGAATTGGGCAGCATGATGGATCCTGGGTTCAATCCCCAGTTCAGACTTGGGGTCTTCTGTGTGGAGTTTGTATGTTCTCCTCGCGTTGTGTGGGTTTTCTCTGGATACTCTGGTTTCCTCCTGCAGACAAAAAAAAAAAAACATTTTTGACAACTCATGAAAATTTTCCCGAACTTTGAATGTGTCTACACTGAAGATGGCATAAAAAAAGTTAATTGGATGCTTCTTATGGACTTCAGTGTTAAATATATAACTTTTATTTAGTCCTAAATAATTTTACAAGTTGGCAGAAGTTCTCTAAAACAGCGGTTCTAAAACTGGGGTCCCAGGACCCCCAGGGGTCCGCGAGCTATGTCTTGGGGGTCCTCAAAAATTTTAAATAAATTGTTAATTTGGTTTTTATTTTAAAAAATGCATTTGCGGAATAATGCACTAGTAAAACAAACATACTGAACCAAACAAAAATAATATTAGATTAGATTAGACCTTTATTGTCATTGTACAGAGCACAATGAAATTACAGTTCAGAAC